TGAATTTTTGATCCTTTTTCTTAGAATAAATTATAGTAAGAACATATATCAAATTAATGTGTCTGACAATAGAAAGACACGTTGATAGCGATAATAAAAAGTTTGGGGAAAAAATAATGACGATAGAGGAGGTGAAGTAACCGTAGAAATGATAGAAAGAAAAAGAACAATATTTTCTTTTTAAAAAAAAGCTAATTAGATGCTCTTATATGAGATGTTAAATGGATGAGTTGAGTTGAAATTGGAGATATTAAAATGAATTGAAATAAAAATAGGGTTGGATCTTGACCTATCCAAGTTTGCTTTGAGCTCAAATGGAATAAAAAACGGATTAGGTCTCGACCCGTCTAATTTAACCCAATTTATATCAATAATTTTAACATAGTGAGATTTAACTTTTATAATCACAATTCGAATTTCATATCAAGATTATTTTTTTTAAAAAAAATTAACAAATGGATGGATAAATCCTAAAAGATGTTATATAGATAATAATTCATGCCTTTAATATAGGAACATATCTTACTAAAGTGTTTTAAAACGAATTGAAATTGGAGATTAAATATTGAGTTCAATTGAGGATTTTCCTAAAATGGGTTAGACTTGAATAAGTTGAGATTAAACACAATTCAAATTATGTTGAGTCCAACCCTTAAAATTCTGGGCGGATTACCTATGTTTGAGTTCATTTTTGACACGCCTACTCTCACATGTCCATTCAAAGTGAATTACAACAACTTTTTAAACTGGCTCAAATTCAAAAGATATTAAATAGGTACAAAACTTAGCTGAAATGTCCAAATAAAATATGCTCAAAGTGATCGTTGATGACTTAAACAAAAAATAAACAGGTTGTTGAGTACTGTTGAGTGATTTCAATACAGTATATAATATTGATCTAGTATCAGTTAAACAAAAAATTTTAACAAAACAAAATTTTTTAACAATCTTAATAAATAGGGGTATGTGCTGTAACTTTTTTTTTTTGGAGAAAAAGGGTATTTCTTAAATAACTTTGAATTGAGGTGTAAATATGTAATTATTTGAATTTCATAATCCATTTATATAATTTTTTTTTATTCAAAATCACAAGATTCAAAAATCTCGTTTATTACAAAAATTTTAGACTATAAATTTAGATATTCGTTATAAACGCGATATTGAAAGAGGCAATCTGGCCCTTCGAACAACATGATCAAACAAAGGACAACAACGCAGAATAAATGTTGATTAAGGTGATTTAGTAATGTTTGTATTAATAATGTTGCTATTAGTTATGGCAAATTATCTTTTATATATTATTTGATTTAACAAAACTAGTCTTGCATAATTTTTTAAAAGAATATTTACTTTTAAAAATATCATCCACACTCTTTACTTTGGAAATTGAAAATGTGTTGAGAGAGATTTAAGTAGTCATGTCATTAATAAATTTAATGTATATGTTGAAATCATTTGTATTACTGTTACATGAAATATCATTGTTTAATAATGCACACCTCAATACGCAGAGAAGTGCATTAATTATACATAGGCTGAAAAATGTACCAAACAAATAATAAACAAAATAATGCATACATTATTATTTCAAATACATTTTATTAAAATATCTTTAATGATCGTTTGATAGAATGTATAAAAATAATGTTAAATAGAATCTATTAGTTATGCCTGCATTGATTTTACATAGATTATTTCTTATGATGTTTTGTTTGATGTATATAAAATACATACATTGCATAAAAATATTTATTAACAAATCTACCCTCCACAATTAGGGTGGAAAAGATGTAAATAGATTTTTGAGAGACAATGTAATCTTTAACCATGCTAATGCAGCATTACTAATACCATGAATCTTTAAAGTCGTTTAGTAGAGTGTATTAGTAAAAATAATACATGTATTAACTCGGTGTATTAATAATCCCTTTTATAGGACACTTTTTCATGCAATGTGCATAAGTTAAACACTCTATTGTAAATTAAGGAGTGTTATTAATACCATAATTTGAAGGTCTTAGTATGCAAAGAGATTTAATACATGCATTAGCATGGTTAAAAACCTAATTACCTCTTAAAAACACTTTTACATTTTCTCCACCAATATTGTGGAAGATATATTTGTAAATAACTATTTTTATATCATGCACACTATTTTTAATCAACCAAATCAGACAATGCATAAGAAATAATATGTGTATAACTAATGCAAACATAACTAATACAACAAATACTAGTGCAAGCATTATTAATATATACTATTAAACATTATTTTTATACGTACCAAGCAATCATATACTTTTAATATACACCTCAATATGCAATAGTTGTAGGTGAAAAAATACTTATTAGAAAAAACACTTTACAAAATCAATGCACACATTATTTTTTTGGGGAAGTTTTTTGGCCAGTATTCGACAAGAATGATATTTTAACTATGTTATTTCACTTTTTAATGTTAATACCTTTTAATTAAAAAATGAAAAATATTAATTTATTTTAAAACAAAAATATATTACACACTTTTTAAATTTCCTAACTATTAAGCATTACACATGTGTAGACGATAAAATTAACGCCAAGAAAACAATAATAGAAAACGAAAAATTATAGTAACAATCGTGTTTATTATTTTGAAGTGCGAGTGTTACAATCTCTATGATTTCTCTGAATTCGCCTTCTCAAATATAAATTTAAGGGCTTTAAAGCTTGATCTTGAATTTGTGTTGATCTTGAACTTAAACTTGAACTTTATCTTAACTTTTACTTAAATTCAAGGGCTTCAAGCTTGTTCTTGAATTTGATGGTCTTGATTTTGATCCTCAAGGGCTTCGAGCTTGTTCTTGAACTCGATGGTGTTGATCTTGATCGTTCTTAAAACACAAGTGCTTGAATTCTTAAACTTGTAGCTTTCTAGAGAATTAATAGCGTTCGTACAACAAATTTTCTCTAGCTTCTTATTTAAAAGAATTTTCTCTCCCTTTTTTGAATTATGAGGATCCCTATTTATAGTTTTAGAATAGAAGAGTTACAATTTTAACATAATTCCCTTCGGCCAATCAGATTTAAGTGACATGACATATGAGTTTTATTGAGCGGGCTTGTCATCTTTGACACATGTCATGATTCTATTGGCCTCTTATTTGACTTGACATGCCACATCATTTGCCCCGCGTGGCACCAAGATAGTCTCCAAAATGAGTGAAATTGGTTCATCTATTGAGCCCAAATCAATTATTTTAACTTTAATTAAATCCATATTTATTGGACTTGAATAATTAGCATATTTATGAACTTAATAGAACCTACTCATTGTATAAATTTATATTTAATAAATTTTAAATGATTACACCATTTTTTTAAACACACTCTACCAAAGCGTGTTATTAGTTAAAATAAATATCAATGTTTTCCTTTTTGGGTAATTGGTGTCCCCACTCCCCATACAAACGCGTTACATTTAAATCCTTTCAATTCACAGCTATTTGCTTCATTTAATTTAATAATTCCCCTCCTTCCTCTTCCCTTCTATCAACTCTCCTCTCTCTCATATATATATAATATATATCCTCATTTATGTCCCAATTTCAAACATACATTCCCAAAAACAACTAACTACATATTCCTTAAGATTTCCTATAATGTTGCTGCAGCAGCTATCTGTTCTTGCTCTACTTCTCTTGCTATGTCCTGTTTGGGCTGACAATTTCTACCAAGATGCAACGGTTACCTTTGGTGATCAGCGAGCTCAGATACAAGATGGTGGGCGCCTTCTCGCCTTGTCCCTTGACAAAATTTCAGGTTCAGGATTTCAGTCTAAGAATGAATATTTATTTGGAAGGTTCGATATGCAGCTCAAACTAGTACCTGGAAATTCTGCTGGCACTGTCACTACCTTCTATGTAAGTTAACACAGTTTTCTCCTCTTATTCTGTATATGTAACTAATTAACAAACCAAAAAAAAAACAAAAAAACACATGTTCACTCACTGAAGTGTTTTTTGTGCAATATGAAGTTGTCTTCTCAAGGAGCAGGGCACGACGAAATTGATTTTGAGTTTCTGGGAAATTCATCAGGCCAACCGTACACGGTTCATACTAATGTCTACTCTCAAGGAAAAGGCAACAAAGAACAACAGTTTCGCCTATGGTTTGATCCCACCTCGTCGTTCCACACCTACTCTATTGTTTGGAACTCTCAACGCATCATGTATGTTACTAATTGAACTTTAATTGAAGTCTAAAAACAACTTACTTGGTGCTTATGTCTGACATTTGGGGGATTTTTCTTTTTCTAACTGCCCAGATTTTTGGTGGATAATATCCCAATAAGAGTATTCAACAACCACGAAAAGCTTGGTGTTGCATTCCCAAAGAACCAAGCAATGAGAGTTTATGCCAGTTTATGGAATGCTGATGACTGGGCAACACAAGGAGGGCGAGTGAAGACGGATTGGTCAATGGCTCCGTTTACAGCTTCTTACAGGAATTTCAACACAAATGCTTGTGTTTGGTCAGCTGCATCGTCTACTTCGTCCTGTGGAGGCTCTAAGACTGATTCAGTAAACAATGATCAGGCATGGCAAACTCAAGAACTGAACGGTAATGACAGAAATAGGCTTCGATGGGTTCAGCAGAAATACATGATCTACAATTACTGTGCAGATGCTAAAAGGTTCTCTCAAGGCCTTTCTCCTGAATGCAAACGTTCAAGGTTCTAAAGGATCAAATCTACGAATGTTGTCTGTAATATTATCTTGGTTTTCTTTTCTATTCTTTAATTTGTTCTGGGATATCAGGGGAAAAAACATTGTGTAATTATTTGAGGAAGCAATATATTCTTTATTCTTTTTGTAATCGTGAAATAGAAATAACGATTAATCGTTTTCCTGCCAAGCCAGTCCATCTTTGTGACCATCGTTGCCTTTAAGTGATCTCGTTCCCTAGGCACTCTCTGATGTCACATATTACTTACAAGCAATTATACAGACAATAGAGACTCAGAGAACTGCTAAACTTTTATTCAAGAGAGGACAAATTATGACAGAAAAAACGAGTGAAACAGAAATGGAGTAAAGAAAATACATTTGACTACCTCCCTTCAAGAGACGAGGAAGGGGGTGCGCGGACAGTACTTTCATCAGGTGGAAGTGAGGATCTTACACAAGTCATGAAATATACACGAAGTTACTGTAGCATAAAGCTAACCTTTGACAGCTAAATTTAGCCATACAGATGATTATTGTATAATATATTTCATGAAAACCTGGAAAGGTTGTAGCTTAAAATGGCTTGCCGAATTCTTGTGTCTGCTGCTCCCAGGCCGTCAGAAAGCCTACACAAATATATTAAGCATACACTTAGAGAATAAAGACACTCATAGCATCTGAGATTTATCTACAAAATAGAGAAGGACGCATACATGTGCACAAATATACAGGGACGTCGAACATATTATTGCACATGCCTATGACTGCGGAGCAGAATATCAATGAGCTGACCAAGCCAAACTACACGTTATTCAGCGAAACACATCCTCATTTCAAAAACCTAAGGTCACTCTCATCACCATGGATTTCCTTATCGCTTACCTGTCCTATAATCATCAATCAATTCCCCCCTTTTTTTGGACTAAAAGTACAAAATTCATGATACTGTTCAGAGAATGTAGAGCTTCTGACAGTAAGACATTTAATTGGCAATGAGACACATCTTATGAACCATCACACCAAAGAAAAAGGATTTATAATATGTGTAGAACAATTAGAGACCAAATGAATAGCATAACATTAATGTGCACAGTAATCAGAACAAGAAATCGGTGAAACCATTAGTGAATGCATAATATAGGATGGATCATGGAGCAATCATGTTTCCATACATGCACAGGATTTTCCTCCAAAAAACACCTCAATTAGTAATATCGAATTCAAGTGCATGAGAAAAGATCTTTAGCATACTTATCGGTATTTCTCCCAAAGACATATATATTGAATCATCATCTCCAAGCACTCCCTGAAGAAAAAAAATAATAGTAATCAAAAAGAGGTTGGTAAAAACATTCATCAAGAGTTATGTCGTTCTCAGCTGTAAGTGAAAGCAGAGAAAACAACAATAGCAAAAGTAACATATTGAACCAATTCAATAAATAACAGCCAAAAGACATTATAAAAATTATGGCACTAGTACCTCTCCATTATGCGGGCCCATATCATTGTGAAAAGAATTCATATTTTCTGGTACAGAAGAACATCTTGGTATATCATTCCCAAGCAATTCTGATATCATCAGTCCATAACCGTCCTGAACATCAGTAGTATCGTTGGTACCATGGGGGTTATTAGAAAATCCATCTGATCCAGTAAATACAACTTCAGACCTGTGTATGACATCCCAAAATTAGCGGAGAATCTAGGCAAGCAATATGATTCACCTAGAACATGTTTATGGAAAACTAAAGAAAACAGTCATATCAATGATGAACCATGGACCAGTGTTTTACCAACTTAGACTGAAACAATGAAAGACGCAAAGCCATATTAAAAAGACAAATATATTAATGTTATAACCTTACCTTGTATCTGGATTATTCAAAGCCTTGTCTTCTTGTTCAGAATCATTATCCAAATCAATCACCTCAATGTCAATATGATCAAAGGCAGATTTAGCATATTGACTAGCTGTATTGCAGTTACTGCTCATGGTCAGATCAATATCAACTGGTGCTTCTTCTTTTACACTTCCAGTTATCCCTGGGAAGATATTAACAGGATCAGCATTTTGAGTCTCATTCACAACAGAAGCTTCCAAAAGATTGAGGTCACAAGTTTTCAAGGAGCCTGGAAAAAGTTGTTTTCCTGTAAAGTCAGTGCCTGACTCCAAATCACTCTTGGTAACCAGAGGAATGTCAACCAACTTCTTCTCATCTAATGACAATAGCACTCCCTCGCCATGCGAAGTCCCTGGTTCCTGTGAATTCGACCAGTCTTCCATGGAACTAGAATGGTACAGAATAGCATCTGACAGAGAACACATAGATGAAACCAATTCTCTAGGTTTCTTAGTTCTCCCTATACAATCATCGTCATGCTCTAGTGCTCGTTTCTCTCCTCTTTCCAAGTTAATAGAATTGCAACTTTCAAATCCACGTAACTCCACAATTGTTTCGTCCTCCTTTATTACCATGCTGTCTCCAAGAGACGAGGAATCCGTCTCATTTACTTGCTTAATGACTTGAGAAGAACGTGATTCTTCCTCCAAATCAAGAGGTTCCGACTTGCCAGAATCAAGGTTTCTTGCATCATGACTATGAGGAGATGAAATTACACCTGCAGAAACATCCACATGGTTCAGTTCTGAATGCATTTGAGTATCCTTAGGAAGCTCCATCTCACGGGCGTTCTCATCTTTGATGACTGCATTATCAAAAACCTTCAGAACTCTATTTGCCAATGAAGAGCGGGTTTTCTTGGGAACATGCTCAAACCTCCAGACACTAAGTAAATTATTACTACTCTTGGTCATCTGTGTATGTTCTTCAGTACTCTTGCTCGTATGCATATGTTCTTCAGTACACGGTTCAACTTCTATGTCCTCCTTGGCAGATTTTGTCTCCAAATCACAATAATCGTTGGAAACAGCAACCTGATCAACTTCTATTTTTGAGGTTTCCATTTCAATACACTTCTCAGTATGTTGTCGTTCATCCTCTAATGGAAGATTAATTTCAATTCTAATAGGACTTGCCTTTTTACCTGCATCATCCCCTGCCTTGTTTTGGCCTGCAGAGTCTGAATCAATCAATGAGTTCCCTGAACTCTCAATCACAGGATCTATTTTCCTGGGAGGGGAACTTTGCAACACCGCATCACTATTCTTCGCTACTTTCTGTTCAGCTCTATTCCCTGAAAAAGCATTATCTTGAGCATCCACATCAGGAGAGTTTCTGACTCTATTCCACGACCCAACTCTTCCTAATTCTCGATCGAACTCAGAGCCATAATTTCTAGCAGTTTCATTTCTTCTACTTTCTCTCACAAAACTTCTTGAACTCATTGAATTATATTCCTCCGGAAACCTTTTCCTACCATGACCTACATCAGCTGCAGCACTCCCCAAACGAGGAATAGCTGATATTCGACCTTCAACAGGGACCCCCATAAAATCAGCCTCCTGTGACCTAAACCCCTGAAACTCTCCAACCGAATTATTTAAGCTACCATTTTGATATTTCCCAGCTAAAGCACTTGGATGCAACACTCCCTTGGATACAAGGTACTCAGCCGCTAGCCGTCCAGCTTCCATGAAAATTTCATTTCCATGAGGCAATCCAAACTGCTTTGACTGACCACGCCCCCGACTATAGTTTCTATACTCACCACCACCTCTCGCAAATCGCTCAGGTGAAGCTCCTACACCCATTGAACTAGACCTATTCCCATTTACCGGACCACGATATCTGGCATGCATGTTTCAATAACCTAAATAGTATCTAATGATCAATCCAAACCTCACTTCCCCTGAATTAATAACAATCCAAACTATTCACACAAATATTTCAAACTAAACACCAAACACTAATTTTATTATTAATTTTCTTTTCCTTATTACAGTTTCCTTCATAAACGCATGAGTCTCTAAAATCCATGGCAATTGAAATAGCTTCGAAAATTTGTTACCTTGTTCCAAAACTGATGATTTATTAGGGTTTCAGATCCATTTCACATCATCATCAAATTCTACCATTTCTTCGTCATCTTCATCAAAATTCGTTTTTTTTCGGTTCAATTTTATAATTTGCATATAATTTGGAGAAATCTAACTATTTTTGTCCTGGAATTCATCAAGCTCTCAAAATCGATACAGGTAAAATTAAAATTAAAATAAAATTGTTCATCTGGGAATGAAAAATATAGTGGAAAATTGCGGGTTGTTCAATGTTTTATTTTATTTTTTCAGTATTGCCAAAAGTGTGAAACCTACAACAAAAGATTAAATTAATTACTTACTTTAATTAAATTGAAAAAAAAGGGGAAAGAAAGTCAAGTGCGTGATCCACCAACTTTTTTTTTTTCCTAATTAAACGAATTAGGATATATTCATACCTTTCTCATCTTATCAATAAAAATTAATTATTCAGCTCATGTCTTAATCACCTCCGGATTCGAATTTTGAGTATAAATTCTTTTTGATAAATAGTGTTTTCTTATTACGTGGTGTAAATGCAGAATATTAGGCTTTAATGTCGTATTGAATATCGAATCGGATGAGAATTTTTTAATTCATTTAACAAAAAAATCTACTTTTCTTTGTTAATTTTTTCTTCTATGTGACGTGTTTTAATATGATAAAATTAAATGATAATTTTGATATCTTTTAAATTTAAAAGCACAACATTTAATTTTTACTTTCTTAAACTCTATGGTAAATCAAAATAGAATTGAGGCATGATAAAATGTGTCTTTAATTCGATTTCATTTCATATTTATGCTTTTTAACTTTGGTCTGTACAATCAGAAACTTAAACTTATATAAAGTTAAACAAATAGACACATGAGTCTTACGTGACATAATATACGTAGGACATCACATAAGATTCAAATTTATATGTAAGATGTCATGTAAGACGTAGATTTATTTGTTTAATTTTATATAAATTTAAATATTTATTTATATATATCCAAAATTAGATGACGTAAATATGAGTTAAAATCAAGTTAAATGATATATGCTAGAACTAAAACGGAGAGAGCGGCCCGTTTGGCCATAAATTTTCCAAATAATATTTGGGAAAAATTTGGCAAATAATGTTTGTCCATACAATTTGTCATTATTTGGCAAATATTTTTGGCAAATATCCCAAATTTCCAAATACTAGTTTTTTCTAGTATTTGGACCAAATATCATTATTTGGGATATTTTAAAAATTAAAATTTTACCCCAATCTTTTATCTTTTATAAAAACACCCTCTCTAGTAGTTGCTTTCGTTGTATTACATCATTTTTTACGTAAACACCAAAATAGTGATGAAATATTTAGTGAATATTAAATAATGATATGATTGTTGATGAAAATTATTAAAAATTGACTTTAGGTAACAAAGTCATGTACTTTATCTACTTCACGATGTATGGAATAATTCTTGTTGCACTCACTCCAAATTATCACATTGCTTCATTGTCATGGACATTATTTGTTATTGTTGTAACTAACATTCAATTGACTTGTAATACAAACTTTTAGTTAGTTTTGATTGTTTTTAAAACTTGTGTGTATAAATCATATTTTTCTAAAAAGGTGAAATATATTTCCCAAATTTTATGGCCAAACACATGGTGAAATTTCACCCAAATTTTCACTCAAATAATATTTGCCAAGAATATTTGAAAATCTATGGCCAAACGCTAGCTTAGTTTGTGTCACGTGTATGACGCAACAAACAATAAAAATAGAGAAAATTATACTACCTTTCTTTTCTTTTAATTGTTACATTATGTTTTTTAAAAATCAAATTGATTAATTTTTAAAATTAATTTAGATTATATTAATTTAATATTTTAAATAAAAAATTAAATACTCAAAAACTTTTCGAAAAGTACTATAAATTACAAAATTTTTATATTAATTTAATAAAAATTATATCGTAAAATATTAATTAATAGTTTAATTCTTAAAACGAAATCATTACCATTAAAAATAAACAAAGAAAATATGTTATACGAAGAAACAATGCTACCAAATTGGGTCGATATTTCATTTTCTTACCTAATTTAATTTCAATTTCTATGTAAATAAGATTTATTTTGTTTTCATTAGTTAGCACACAGAATATTTTTACGTTATTTTTCGTTTTGTTTTTGTTTTTGATTTTTTTTTCCTCACATGATACATGTTTTGTCCGTCATAAAGTCTTACTTTCTTTGAATATTAAAATTTTATTGTACGTTATGTTTTTCTTTTTCTTCTAAGTATATTTATCATTTTAATCATGTTTTCTCCTTATTTTTTCACTATAGCAATTTTTTATTTTTGTTCGAATTTTTGGTTTAGATTTTTTTGTATATTTTATTTTTGATTTGATATTGTATTTGCATCTTAGTTTTGATTTTTTTTTTTGAAAAATGCTCAAGTATTTTCTAGCTATGAACGAAATATCACAGACACACCGTAACTAAACTAAAGTTATATTACCCTCTAAACTTTTTTTTATTAATACACTTTTTGTCTTACATGATATTCTCCGTGACTTCACACAATTGAGGCGCGTAGGAGATATTTGGATGCTATATAAGCCAAAAAATTGAACAAAATTATTTAAAAAATAAGTTCAGAAGAAATAGAACCTTAATTTAGTTAAAATATGTCTATGCGATTTTGGTCATAATTTAGGGGTACTCGTACATTTTATTTTCCATAGTTACAACCTTTTGTGATATTGTTTACATGTCTTTTAATATTGTTTTTTAAGCATACATTTTTGTTGCTGATTTTAGGTTGAATTTAGTTTTTGATTTTGGGTATGATATAATCTTATCTGCTTTGACTATTTCTTTAGATATTTTATTACATTAATAATGTATGCAGATTATGAATTAGTGATGAATTTTTTGATTTTGAATACAATAAATGTTTCCCTTTTTTATTCTTTATCTAAGAAAGTGTGCTTAAAAATAATTGCACCTAGAAGTAATGGTCATAAATAAATTAAAGAGAAAATGGTCAAAAGTCTTTCTAAGCTATTGTCGAATTTTCAATTATATACTTATGTTTTACGAGGATTCTATTACCCTCTGAACTTTTCAAAAGTAAAATATCTAGTTTACTATAAATTCATGCCCAGATTTATATTAGGTAGTGGTCTATATGCGCTGCCACGTAATATTTATTTTTTATAAAAAAATTATTCTTTTATATTTTATTTTTTTTGCTTTATATATTCATCTTCTCCTTTTCTTTTTCTTTTCCATTCCTCCATTTCTTTTTCTTTGAAGCTTTTCTAGATTTGACGACTACCGCATCTTCGATCTTCATCGTAATTTTAAACACTAGAAAATCTCGTTCTAAAAACTCTATATTTTTTCTTTTTCCGCTATTATAACATTTCTCAAAGATTGATACAAGAAACTCAATTAATGTTTACAACAATTTCAATAAGTGGGTCTTCATCATCAAAGGGTTCAAAATTCGTATTTGTAATTTTCTACAGTGTTGATCACTGGGTCTGATTCATTCATACAACACTTATTCGAGTTTTCATTTGACATTTTGGTGAATTTTGAGAAAATTTAAAATTCAATTAGGAACCTAATTAAGAAATTAGAGCAAATTACGAACCCTAAATTCGAGATTTGAAGTAAAAATGAACATTAACAACTAAATCCTACTTAATTTGAGAGGAAATCGTGATTTTTTTTTACAAAAGGAACAAGGATTAATGGTGTCGAAGAAGAAACAATGGATTTTTTTAAAGGTGAGAAAATGACCAATGGAGAAGAAGAAATTTTTCATCAAATTTCTACTTCTGACTTGCCTAGAGACGGTGATAACACATCCCATGACAAGTCAGCACTTAGGTGTATAAAAAATAGAGCAATATAAAATTTAGGTGGATAATAAAACACCCGTAAACTTAGAATGTGTAGTTAAGATTTCTCGTATAAATTAGGGAGATTTCAGACCATTTTCTCTAAATTAAATGTGATGTACTGATGTTGGTTGCAACATCTCACCACTATGATAATGATGGGGAATTCAATTAATTAGATTTTTAATATAATATATTTTTCCTTTCTAAAATATCTTAATATTTATGATATTTTTATTTTTGATATACTCTTTTATTCTTTTTTCCTTTTTAAAATATCTTAATATTTATGATATTTTTATTTTTGATATACTCTTTTATTCTTATTTACTTGTTTATTTTTAATTTGATACACTTATTAAGAAAAAATTAATTGATAGTGGATTATTCTAAAGTTTTAAATTCAAATTAAAATAATATATAAATTAAGAAAAGAAAAAATTGTTATTTGTTATTTTTTGGGGAGAGTCTAAATCTTTATTTATTATTATTTTAAAGGGAAACTTTTACATATAGTCACTCAAAAATAGCCGAATTACTCTCAATAGCTATAGTTTAATAATTACAATTCGTAGCTACGTGTTATATGGAGGAGAGAAGCGAGTGACACTGCGAGAGAGGGGGGAAAGAGTGGGAGAGAGGTGAATTGTATACATATATTGATTAGATTATTGTATATTATACATATGTATTTGTATATATGACAAGCGAGATCGGGAGAGTGAGGAGAGAGGCGAGTGAGATTGGGAGAATGAGGAGAGAGGCGAGTGAGAGAGGGCAAAGAGTGAAAGATAGGTGAATTAAATATGTATATCGGTTAGATAATTGTATATTATACATCTGTATTTATATATTATGACGAATTATACATATACAAACGTGATTACTTGTACAAACTCGAGTCAGCTCACGTAATTAATGTATAATGTTAGTCGCGAATGATAATTATAACAAACTATAGCTATAATAAATAATTAAATAATATAAATTTGCTTAACCACGTAATTTATCCCATTTCAATCCTACAAAAATATTGTTGTTACTTTTATTTCTAATTCTGTAAAGTAACAAGTAAAATAATGTAAACAACCTGAGGTTCATGGGATCCACACAAGGGTAGAAGAATGATTAAAGAGTGTTAAACTTGTCATGGTATGAGTACGAGCAGTGGCGGAGCCAGAATTATCAGTAAGGGGGTTCAAAAATTGATGAAACAGACACACGAACTAGTTGAAGGGGGTTCGACATTTACTATATATATCTAAAATTATTTTAACCAAATAAAAATAATATAATTTTTCGTCGAAAGTGGTTCGAATGAACCCCCTAATGAAAATGTGGCTCCGCCACTGAGTATGAGAGTGTTGGTAGTGGAAACGGTGATTAAATATTGAAGTGAAAAGGAAGAAGGAAACAAAAGAACTCCAAAGCTCTCGCCGACAAGCGCGCTAAGATATTCGAGGCATGGTGAGAATTGCCTTCGTGGTGGACAAGACGATGAAAGTGCGGTTAAGATGATTCAGACATATGAAGAGAGGAGATGTCAGATGCCTTGAAGAGGTGTGAGAGGTTGTCTATGGCGAAGATGTAGGCTGAAGAAGTATCGAGGAGGAATGATAGACAAGACTTGAAACACCTTTCGCCTTCAAAGGACATGCATGGCAATACGAGGATATAGAGGTCGAGAATTAGGGTTGAAGACTAGTAGAGTAGTAGGTAGTCGTGCTGTCTTGTTTTCCTTACCATTGGGTTTGCTTTTCTTTTCTCCCACTTTCTTATATTTCAATTTTATTATTACATATTGTTTCTTTTGCTTTGGCTATCGTATTATTTATTGGTGTTAATGGTAGTCTGTATTGTATTCTCTTTCACTTCTTACTTTGTTATGTTTCAGTGCCTATTGAAAATAATCTCTCTATCATCACAACTAAGGTGCGATTGCGTACACAACACCCTTCCCAGACTACACTTGTGAAATTTTCACATAATAGTAATTTAGGGAAATATAACAAGACGACACAATGAGATTGGAAAAATGTTGGTTTTGTTCCTCAACTGTATATCCAGGCCATGCTATTCAATAAGTTCGAAATTAAACAACACAAAGGTAGACTCTTAAGCTTTCTTGCCTGTTTAATTTACGCCAAACAAGTTCTAGTATAAGAAAACTCAGAAATTGAAGGAAATGACAGAATATAATCTCACGTCTGAGTGGCACTTCAAATAAGAATCTAATTTATATACACTGGCAATGGAAATAACTATTACATTATCAGTGTATTTTAGTCGGAAGTACATGATATACTTACATTTTGTTGCAAGTTACTTTAAGTTGAAATCCACCAATGTGGGTACAAGCTAAAGTAGGCACCACATCAATAGTTTTCAGCAGACAATGCTCAGAGCTTTGAGATATTAGCTTAATTTTGGGGCTATACAAGAAGATATGATGGTATATAAAGACAATCAAATAATAATTATAGGCAACAAAAAATCAAGAAAGTATTTTAAACGAAAACTTCATTTTTAGTCTTCAGTTCACATTCCAAAACAGTCTTCAAAGGCTTACCTTTTCCAGACAGTTTCATTTGTCCAATTTTTCAGAAAAAAACTGTCCTGGAACAAAATCAATCAGAAAGTTCCTCAACTAATGTGAGATGCTTAACACCCTCCTCCACACGTCAAAGAATATGTAATAAGATACCAAAAGGGGCCTGACAATATGTAATAGGCTGCTACTCTAAGCTCGCGCCACTTCTTCAAGATCCACCCCTTCTTTCGAAAATCAACAAACAATAGTATAGGTATTAGGTGATGTTCGAGCTAACGTGGGCTATTTCATTGAATACATAAAATACCTTCCTAGATAGCTTTTGATTTCTAGACGTCACTAGCTTCTTCCATGACTAGGTTCAGCTTCATTGCCAACACCTCCAAAATCATGTTTCACCCTTTTCGAGACATCGGCAGCTTCAGAAATTATCGCCTTCACTAGCTTTTTGTTCCTGGGTGCAGAGAATAGTGATGCTTCAGATTTCAGATTTCTCATTGAAATTATTGTAGAAGAAAGTTGATTCAATTTTGACAAACATAAATAAGTATCTGAATATTAAGTTAAGACGGAAAGAGATAATTATTAGTTATACAAGACAAACCTGATTTATTGAGATCAAGTACTTCCTGCACATATTCATAGTTCACTTCTTGAAGACTCGCTGTACTCACAGATATTCCCTGTTGGACAAACGTCTTCATTTCATTGCAGTCATATATCTCCACTTCCATAAGAAGTGGAATTTGAAGAGCTTGCTCAGTCAGAAAGAAATGCTCCAACTTCGGCAGTCTTTGAAGCTTTAGTTTTTCCAACAGGGGAAACAAGGTCATGATTCCTTCTCCTTGTTGTTCCTCTTCTCTGATCACTTCTTTCATTGAATAGCAGTCCTTAATCTCTAGTCTCCGGAGATTCAGAAGACCTCTAGCCACTGATTGAGACATCAAGTTTCTCAATTTTCCGCAAAAATGTACTTGTAATATTTCAAGTTTGCTGAAGTAGGAGGCTGGAAGTTGGTAAGAGAATAGAGCATTTATGCTGTTAGCCCCCGACATATATAGCTTTTCCAAGTTGGGACAAAAAACCTGCACATGTTGAAGGGATGAAAATTGAATATATATAGCTTCAAGTAGAAATCCAGTAATGAACCATATATCATCTTACGTCAAGGTAACACAAATAACTATTAAAACGGAAATTAGAGAGCAGTAATTAGTTATAAAGACAAACCTTAGAATTGAACATTACTTTCACCTCATCATCACTTTCAAGACTCACAGATATTCCCTGTTTGACAAACGTCTTCATTTCAGAGCAGTGATAAATCGTCACATCTTTAAGAAATGGAAATTTAAGAGGATGCTCCGTCAGAAAGAAATGCCCCAACTTAGGCAGTGTGTGAAGCTTCAGCACTTCCAACATGGGAAATAAGGTCATGATTCCTTCTCCTTGTTGTTCGTCTTCTCTGATCACTTCTTCCATTGAATGGCAGTATTCAATGTCTAGTCTCCGGAGATTCAGATGATCACTAGCCACTGATCGAGACATCAAGTTTCTCAATTTTTCGCAATTATGTACTTTCAATATTTCAAGTTTGCTCAAGTAAGGAATTGGAAGTTTGTAAGAGAATAGAGCACTCATGTTGTTAGCCCCATCAATACATAACCTTTTCAAGTTGGGACAAGAAACCTGCAAACTTCAAAGTATCAAACTTTGTTGCATAGAATCTAAAATGGCAAATTACTGAAATAAAACAAGCATTTTAAACTTAGCATTCTTTTAAAATTAACAACATAGAATATAAAATGACATGAGAGAATAAATGCACATATTATATATTATTACTTAAGTGGGAAGCTCCAAAGTACAATGTTGAACTATCATTTTAATTTCTATACTAAATTAAAATATTGTAAAATTAATTATTAAATATTAAATACTAATATTCTCTCCATTAGACTTCTTTAATGTAAATTTCTATGAATTTCTTACTGTCACAAGGCTGTATTCTTATTTGGTTCAAGTTAGTCATTTGTAACTTTATTGAAAGTTTGATAACTAGTAAACAAAGTTAAAAATTAACAGTTGGTGTGGCGCTTCTTGTCACACTTTTCAAGTTTTATTTGTAATTGCGTTATTATTACTCACTGCAAGCATGTTTTCATAGAAATCTTATCGTTCTAATGGATCTATTAACATTTTTATTTGGACATACGTGCAAGTGTCTAAAAATTAGTATATATAATAAAAATAAAGTTCAAAATTAAAAAGTACAAGCAAGGGGGACACTTTATTAATCCTATTGAGGCACAAAACATAAAGTATTTTGTATGAGATGCACATTCAGAATTTGAAATCATATATCATCATATTATATATATATATATATATATATATATATATATATATATATATATATATATATATATAGT